CACATCAGGCCTAAATATGGCTAGTTAAATTCCGGAAACTCAGTTCCAAAATGTTTCCTTCTGATAACATTAACTCTTCACTAAAGAAACACATGATTCAATGTGGTGTAACTTGTAAGAGATTTCTCTTTCTAGAAAACTTCAAAGTGGAACCAATTCTCTAAGTTTTGCAAGTAAAGTTTCTTTTATTCTAGTTTTAAACAACCTGTAAAGATAATTCAATTATGGTTTCTGTAACACTGGTATTAAACAATTTTTAATAGCTAAGAATAAAAACAAAGTTTGCATTTTAGCAGTTTTACAGTCCCAGTATAGACAAAATAACCTGAAAGTCTAATGTATCCACATAATTTTGGAAAAGTCATCATACAGTGTTGCTGCACAATGTAACAACAAATCAACTATGTATTTTAACCAAACTCTATACATATTTAATTCAAAGGGAACTGCCATCTAAACACCTTTTCTTCAGGAATCTTTTATTTTGGAATTTGTTTTGTGTTCCATAAATTAATATTTTCAAATATCAGAACAGCAATAGCTAAAGTACAGAGAGGTGACAAGCAACCACCTACATGGAAAGAGAATAAAAAGAAGCAAGAATGAAGCCAAATGGGAATACCTGATTATAAACAAAAAGAAAACTAACAGCTTGAATATTCCCTCTATGCCAACAGAAGCATTTGAGTTTTGAGGCACTTTACTGCAGAAGATGAGACAATACCAGTAAACACACTTAACAAAGGACAGCAGAAAAGACAGAAGCTGTCAAGTAATTTCTCTATATGAAAGTTTTTTTGAGACAAAAAAACTTACTAATCCTAAAAGCAAATATACGTTTAGCTAAACATTTGGCTTTATAAAGTAAATGAAAATGTTGGGTATAAGTTTAAGGAGCATAGTGATTGTGAAGCACGGAAACCAACATCTATGAGATCAGTGTGAAAAGAAAATTGACTGTGATAGATCTGTTTTCATAAATACCATTTGTAGTTTTAGTTTTTAAATGGTGCATGTTGATTCTAAATGGGGAAAAATATTATCTGTGGAACTTGTGGGCTTCATGAACTACTGTTAATTTACTTAGCATAGAAAATAAAAGCATTGGAGAATAATTACATAAGGTTTGTCTTTCATTTGCTCTAAAAAACCACACATGAGAGATTAAAGTCCCTCATCCTAAGTTACTTCATATTTTCAGAAAGAACAAATAAAAAAAGAACAGACCATACTATTATATAGTACAGTAACAATAATCAACATATTCATCATAAATAACAAAGGTTCACTTCAGTGATCTAAGAACATAATCCAGACAAAAGCCTCAAGGACAGCAAATGTTGTAATTTGATTAGCCTTGGGGTTTTACAAAGCAAATTTCATCATCAGCCTCAATTTGACATTTAAAAGAATGCTTAAAGCAGTTTTGTTTTGCAACTGCCACTTCTGGAGTACTTTTTCACAGAGATGTCCAGCCAGCTTCACTTATTTTTTGAATATTAATGACTAGAAAATCCAAGTCTATGAACAACAAATTTTATATGGTAAATATTTAAATCTCAACAATAATTCCTGTCATATTGGGTTTTACTTTTAGCTCTTTACTGAAAAGGAGACATCTCTCAACTAGCACAAACACTGAATAACTTTCACCAAATACCATCTACTAATAATATACAGTTTCTGGTGGATATGGAAGAAAAGAAAGAAAATCCAAATGTTTCAGTTTGTTTCTTTTTTAGAAGGCTAAGGAATGGAGGAAGTTACAGAGGAAGCATACAGGACTGATTACTGTTGCTTAAATATGAAGTCTGGTAGAGAGCACCAACCCACATTGTAAGAGAAGACATTCAGATCCAAATGCTCTCAACTACAAGGTGCTCTATTAACATATGAAGGTGACCAATTTTTCATACAGATTTGCATATTCACTGGATTTCAAAAAGAAAGGGGATTTTGTTTCATTGATAATCAAGCTGTCCTTCTCAGCTTCCAGGAATTGCTTTTGATCTGACTGGGTAGTCAACCAGTCAGATCAAAACAAAACCTGGGAGAATAAAAAGTACATTTTGGTTATAACTCTGGGCAGGAAATGGAAAAAGGGGCACTGCTATGTAGTGCCCCATGGAGGCAAAAGCTTCAGAGACTGTTCAGGCATCAGTATGGCTGCCAGGTCATCTGTCAATCGGCCAAAAGTGATCTAAACCTTGTGCTGCCTCTTGCTCCAACATCACTGCAAATGCTTAGAATGAACCTGGGCTTACTGCTAAGTTACAAGGAAGAAAATATCTAAAAAGGCAATCAGGCATCATACTTCACTTTTTGAGAAACACCTTAAGCTTTACTAATGTCCATACATTTAAAAAAAAATTACAATCACAAACCACATTCACTAGCTTCATTCAGTGGCTAAGATGATATCATTAAATTAATATGCTTATTATTATTTTCTCATCTCAGGACAGGGATTAAGTTTTCATTTACTACAACCGTTTTAAATTTTACACTAAGGATGGCAACTGCTACTTTCCAAGGAGCATCTCTATATTGTCCTGGACTCAGCACAAGCTCCTTGTTATTAGCAACGACCCTATCCTTACAACCTTCTCTCACTGAAGTTCTGCCCCATTTTACAACCTGAAAATAGAGGTGTAGAGAGGCTACTGAACAACCACCATCAGTTTTGGTATAATCAAGGCCAACTTTTTTTCCAAATACTTCATAACGTATAGAGCTACCTGGGTTTGAAAAAGCTCCCCTTGAGTTTGGTAAAAACTATGACCACTAGCCACTTTTGCACATCAAACTCAATAACCAAACACTACAAACACATAATTATAAACAGTTAGAGAGTTTATAATGCCAACAAAAGTAACTGCATTAAAATCCTTTTAACTCTAGCATAACATGGTAGCACAGGGTTTCTACAAACTTAACCCTATTTGAACCCATTTCCTTTTTAGGAAATGGAGGAATGCCCACTTAAACATACTCTTGATAAGCAGCTATTTATGTTTAGTAATGCATTGCAATGATTAATTAGTCCAGTAAGAACACACCCCCTTTTTGAAGTCCGACCTTGCTTAATTCAGCTTCCAACCACAGAACTGTGGTACATCTATGTCAGCCAAAAAGAGCTTTTATCAAATACCTCTTCACTGAGTACGTGCATATTGACTAATGAATAAGCCCTTAACATTTCCTTAGCTAAGCTAAACAAAGTAAGCACCTTATGTCTTCTTCACTAAGACTGCTCTCCCCCATTTATTTTCAAGGCTGTTCTCTGGAAGCTGCTTTTTCACCACCCTCTCTGGACTGTCAACATCAGATATACTGCTCCAATCAGAGTTCTAGCTGATATCCCCTAGTTTTCAATTCCCTTGTTCAACTACTCAGTTTTTCACCAAACCTTTAGCTACAGCCAAAAGGATTGACTTCAAAATCAAATCCTATCAGCCTCAGATTTAATCTCCCCAAGTGTTGCCCAATTTAGTATTTAGTGGCACCAATTGTGCCATGAAGAGTTACATTCATGTGTCCAATTTATTAGTGATCTAAATCACTTCGCAACCTTACTAGTGTCCTTAGTCCCAAATTTATATTTATTATTTTCTAGGTAAGTAAAAACATCTGAAATAATGTTACAGTTATTTACAGTGAGAACCTCAGAAACTCTGTAAGGGAAGTTATTGCAGCACATGGAACAGCAGACTGATTTTGCAGTATGCACCAATACTTGCAGATGCACAACACACTCTAGCCTGAAATATCAGAGATTCAAATTCAGCTCAGCTTCACCATTTCAGTGAAGGTGTAAGGCAGGGCGGGGGCTATCTAAAGGGAAAGAAAATTAAGAAACAGAGAATAACAGTATCATCTCAAAATTTCTCCCCTTTCTCAAACAACTGCATACTATTTTCTCAAAATATCAGAGTGTACATTATTACACACAATTCTTTCCTGGCTTTATAAACAGTCACTATAAACTTTACTGAGTGCACTGAATGGGATGCTATCTTTTGTACATGAACTTTAAAGGCACTTAGGCAGCGTTTAATCTTCTCCATCAGAAGTCTTCAGAAGTCATATGGCAGAAGGAAATCCATTCCTCCAAAATTATATCAGCCAGTTCCACATTTCCTATTTCTGATGCGATAGTTTCTGTGACCTCAGGAGCATTAGAGTGACCAGTCTTACCCACATTCTTACCTCAGTTTCTCTCTTACACCAGAGTGATGAGTAGGTTACACCTACCAGGAAATACTTGAAAGAGTTGAGTTTCAATGATAACTTTTGAAATAACTCTTTGTGGATCATGAAATAAACACCACACAAACACATACACACAGTTCACATCTTCTAAAGCACTTTTCAATCAGGTCTACCCAGTCTTTGCACTGACTGTCCAGGTCTTCCTTTGCATTTTATGGGCAAGTCTACAGACAAGGATTTGCTGAGCTGCTACCTTCCCTTCTGCAGGAATTAGCATACCTTATGAGCTACAAAAGGAATTCACACAGTTCCAGAGCATAAGGCTTTCTGAGATTCTATTAACTTAAGTAACAGAAACAGAGGCAGAAAAAATCTTCACCTACCTAGAGCATGCATTAGGTAGAGTGACAACACAGTACAAAGGAACCATCAGGATAAACAATATGTAATGGCAAGAAAATATACAATTTAAGAAAAAAAAAACCACAAACAAAAAAAACCCAAAATAAACCAAAAGTACAGACAGCTGGAGACTATTAATATTTTCTTATTTGAAGTCCTAAATTAACGAAAAATAAAAAAAATTTCTAAGAAATCTTAGAAAACAAACAAACAAAAACCCACAGAAGAACCATTACTATTCTTCTATTTCCCAGCTATATTCCAACTGGTACCTGCTTAAAGATTCCTGCGAGAATAATTGGCTGGTTTCTGTCTTGCTGTCTTTCTCCTTCTTCTCTATTACTCGATACTGTAAGGCAAAAACTTAGAAAGGAGGAAGAACTTACTGGTATTGAGAACTCCTCTGCCAAATACTTCAACACTGATGCTCCTCTAGTCAAAAAGTTACTTCTCTCTGCCAGATTGCCCTGGAGTTTTGTATCAAACTCCTTTCTGACAACTGAAGCAACAGAGTCAATTATTATAAGTTTAACCTTCTTCAAAATAACTTCTTCTTCCAAAGACATGATCCTTAAAAAAAAAAAAAAAAAAAAAAGCCACTGATAGCATCATTTACACAAAAGAACCATCTTATAACACTGAATTTTTTTAAATCAAGATTCCTTTAATAAACTTGAAGTCAGTCCCTCTTTTTCCCTCCTTACACACCACATCCACATATTAAGGAGATTTGGAAAGGAATCTGAGGCTCAGTGGGCCCAAGGCAGGACCTCTCCACAAGAGAGTTTTGGAAGACCTCTAGCTAGCAACAATATGCTGTACAACCCCTGAATGGCAGACAGCAAGTAAAGTGGGCACTGAAACTGTGCTTCACTGTGATCTTCCAGTACTTCAAGGGGATTCATAGGTAAGAGGGAGAGTGACTTTTTACACGGGCAGATAGTGATAGGACATGGGGAAATGGCTTGAAAATAAAAGAAGAGAGATTTAGATTAGTAAAGTATTTCTTCCTGAATTCTCAGTGGGTAGTGAGGCACTGGCACAGATGCCCAGAGAAGCTGTGCATGCCCCATTCCTGAAAATGTTCAATGCCAAGTTGGATGGGGCCCTGAACAACCTGACCAAGTGGGTGCCATCCCTGCCTATGATGGGAGGTTTAGAACTAGATGACACCTTTAAGCTCTCTTCCAACTCAAGCCATTCCATTTTTCTTCAATATGCAACTAGCTGTTCTCTGATAAAACTGTATCAGAAGAAAAATACATTCTTACAATAATTCTCCCACTAACATAAAACACATAATATGATGCTAAAATATAACTTACTTAATTTTCATTGCAAACTATGTTCAAAAATTAACATAAGGTTAACAGTATGACAATACAACACTGCACTCAGGCTGATGACTGCTAAACAACTTCTCTCTCCCACTGCTGGAGGAATCCTCATCTTCCTGGAAGTAAACTTCTTTGGAGAAGCAAACTTCAATTTCATGGAAAATGTAACTCTTATACTATGATCTCTCCACAATCCAAGAAAACACCTGTTTCATGAACATTCCCCTTAAAAGGCTTACAAGAATCAGATCACATAGAAATTGTCTCTCACAAATTAAAAAGCATCAAGTGGATTAGTCATATGCTATGAAATGAAAAGAGCAATGTCAATTTTTCTGGAACAGCATTACTTTGTTGGAGACCATGCTGGTCTCCACATGAAAAGGTCTCAAATTAATTATTCTTCATAAAACTTTGATACAAAAAAAAAAATACTGTTATAGACAATCCAGTCAGAATTGTCTTGTCTTTTCTTAAACTCTGGAAGAGAATACCTCTTCAGAACACTGCAACAGGTCAGCTCTCGGTACAGGTGGATGCTACGAGTCATGCAGAGCAGCTTTTCATCTGAGTCAAAATAAGCAGGGAATCTGTTTGCTGCTATCTCAATCAACCTATTAAGAAAAAAAAAAAAAAAACAAAAAAAACCCAGAAGGCATAATACTGCAAAAAGAATAATAAAAGATAATAAGGCATCATGTATTCAGAAAGCAAACACAGCAAAGCTCTGATAAGCAGATACCAACTAAGACTAGAAATCTTTTTAAAAGGAAAAGCATACTGTATTAGTCAGAGTGAAACATTGGAAGTCAGAACAGTAAGGCTCTCTTTCCAGTGATTCTGTCAGTGGTACACTAGAGAAAGACATCATGTGCCTGTATGCAAAGAAAGGGAATATCTCCTCTAGAAGGAAAGTTTACTTACTCAGTAAGTTCTTCAAGTTTCATAACAGAGATTCCACTCAATGACCAAGCATTTTCCTATTCTAATTATTTAATGTAAATATTAAATTTCATTTAAATAAAACTACTCTCTAATTCTAACCATCTTCCTTTCCACCTTTACTTTGCAGTGAAATCATGAAGTGGGCTTTGTGTCACCACAGAAATCTAACAAGCTGGTAAGACACAGAAGATCCATTAGACAGAAAATTTTTCCACAATAAAGATTTTAATTTTTATTAACAAAAAATATTTAATTGTTTATATTTTAAGCAGACATACCCCATCACCTATAGCTTGAGAAGAGTGGCATCTAGTGGATTATACTTGTGGGCACAACTTACTTGTTATCTCTCTTTAAACTTAGGCTCCTTTCATAACAACACAAAGTAAAAGAGATTTTAGGGAAAACAAATTTAAAATCAGTTTAGAAAGAGAGCTCAGGAGATTTTGAGGCAGCATCCTGTTCAACATAGTGCCAGCTATGAAGTCAGAACAAGTTACTTGAGTCTTTATTTCAGAAGCATTCAAGGATGGAGGCAGCACAACCTCTCTGGGCAAAGCTTTTCACCACAAAGGCAGTTAGGAATTGTAAAGCTCCTCCATATATCAGCCCAGAAATGAAGCTCAATGTATGCCTGCTGTGTCCCAGCACACACCCCTGTGCCATCTCCTTCAGGCCTCCTCATTGGCCAGGGAGGGCTACTGCTAAATTGCCTTAATGCCTTCTCTACACTCCACTGAGCAAGTCCTTGGTCTCTCCACAAATGGCAAATGTCCAGCTCCCAACCACCTTGGGAAAAGGAGATATGCACCTCCCTGGCCCTGATGGTCCAGCTCCTTAGAGGAGAAAGTATAAGAAAGTACAGAAAGTATAAGATATAGTCAGTCTGCTGAAATTGTACTTATCATTTGCAACTGAGCAATACTATATATGATTTAATACATAAATATTCTCATCCTTAATAATAATTTTATTTTTGCCATGTTTCCTTTCTACATCCTATTCTATTTTCAGTAGTTTCAGTTTCATCTGCATCTGCTTTCCTTTTCTTTAGCACTCATTTCTAAGTGACAAGTCTTAACTCATTCTTTAGGTCCTACCTTTTTTTACTATTTACATTTCAGGGACCTGAAATAAAATTTAAATGGTGTGTAAGGAGAAAGCATGATACTTTACAGAACCATTACTTGAAGCTTTTTTCTTTGATATACTATACTTCAAACTTTTGTGATATTAACTTGACAAAAAGCAGGGTTAGAAATACCACCTTCTCATCCACAATAACTTGCAATGAATAATCAATGGAAATACATTTACCTTGATACTCCAAAATCATTCCATGGCTGTAGCTGCTAAATCATCTGAAACATAAATTTCACTGAACATGTTCCTGCCCATTTTTCTACACAAACAAGGATGAGACTACTGTACTTCTTGTCCTTCCCCAGCCCCTTAATAACTTTTCAACTTGCTCATTCCAAACAACAGGGACAAAGGAATTGAAATCTCAAAAACATCAAAGCCTCAGAGTTTAGCAAAGCTGGTAACTAAATAAAATAAATTAGAGCTACATTTAATGAAACACTGCAGGATTATTGCAACAGTTAATATGGGAAGAGTGGTGACCACGATGTGTAACTCTGAAGCAATCCAGCACAGCATGTCCATTCAGCACTCGAGCATACTGAAGTGTGCAGCCAAGCCATTTGGGTTGCATGGGCCAAGCAGGAGATGTTAGAAGAACCAGAGATGTTACAGAAATAAGGTGGTACAGTACAGTACAGTACTGCATAGCTGCTTAAGAATACAGAAGATGCAAGGTTACTGCAGAAGGGAATCAAATGCAGAAGGACACAAGGCCCTGTTCAACAGAAATAGGATGGAAATCTGAAGGAAAACTGGCAATGTCAGTCCCACTGTTCACTGGGGAAAACCTCCACTGACTTTGTAGCCAAAATGCTCTGCCTTTACATCCTCCAATTAACATCCTGAAAACTCCACAAACCAAACTGCAAAGCAAGACTTCAGGCACAAAACTCATAAGACCATTTAAATATTAAAGACCATGCCATCCACCTTATCATATCAGAACTGGAATCTGCAACCTCATACAAATTAGGAACATAAGCAAACCATTTTATTAAATTAATTTCGTTGTCTGTGGAATAACTGCATATACTAGAGAAATGTTTAATAATTACCATCAGTATTTAAAAATGCACAATTATTGCTCAGAAAACATTTGAAGGTTCTAAGAAGAGGTGTTAAGAAGTTGTGTGTATTGTAGAATTTTACACTTTACCTTTCAGCACTGAATGCAGACTCTGTGTCAATGTATATAACAGCCCCATCTAGTCCTCCCATGCTTACAGGCAGCGTAGCCAGAACACTCAACATAATACAAAATTGAGTTTTGCCACAACCTGGTGGGCCAGTTATCTGGAAGGAAAAAGATTAGCAACATAACATTCATTTCACCATTGTTCTACTTTTATCTAAGTCACATCAGTCAGTGTACCCCGAGTTCTGCTCTTTCAGTTACCAAAGGAGACAACAGCCATGAAAAGACAGAACATAGCCCACAAAGATCAGTTTGCAGTTAGTCTTGGATCTGTACCTTGCAGACAAATTCATCCCCTGAAGAATAAAAAAGCTTTTCAGACAGAGCATTATGCTTATACTTTCATTAACATCATTATTATCTTTAAAATTTGAGGTCCCCTACTCTTCCCCTCACCTTACAAGATCTTCCCTAGAGACACCTAGCTCTCTTCCATCCATCCCTGTGCTACCTTCTAAAACAGAGCAGAATTAAAAGATTCACAGTCAAATCATTCACATGTCATCAATGGCTTTTAGAGCTGAAAACTAAGTCCAGAGCTATTGAGCTCACAGACATAAACATCTCCTTATAAACCATCATTACCTTGGTTAAACAATTTCTCTCCTAGAAATCACAATGATAATTGCTTATATCTTATAAAGGCTGAATGTTCAATATGAACCATATATATACATAAGACAGATTTTATCTGCCCCAGAGACTACACTCTGCACTATGCAGTGTGTATTTTTTTAAATGAAAAACCGCTAGCTCTCTATTACCGTATTTCAACACCAACACCATTCAATGATCCAGACCAGTTCCCTGCTTCTTAGCTTCCACCTGTGCTCACTGAAAGCCCCTGTGGTGAAGCAGCACTCAAAGAGAGCTTGTATTAAAAGGTTCCAGTATGATTTTGAGGAGAAAAAGGATCCAAAGAACACATTGTTTGATGAGATCATCAGCTCCCGAGAGCAGTATTTTTCTACTAGAGATGGCAGTCTGATGCTCTTTATCCACTGTGGATCTTCCAGAGATTGTGTCTGAATGCTGGGCTCTGTGTTCAGATAATTGCAAGTTCATTACTACTGCAGGAGGTCTTTAAATACAATATCAGGTTGTCACTGCTTCTGGGAAGGGAGATGATGAAATAGTAAATACTAGGAGGGCCAAAAAACAGCAAAAACAAAGTGACTTTAGGCAGTGAAAACAGTGATGGGTTCATTCTTATGCTAATAGCAACAAACCATTAATACAAGGTGTAAAAGCAAGCCTCTCAGGTAAGTTGAACTGTAAAACAAAGCATGCTGTCTCAAAACATCTAGTACTGCCAGAACAAAGGCCTAAATACAGAGCTATTGTTTTAAATTTAAAAACCAAACTTTACAATAAGCAGACACTAAAAAATCAAAGTGATTTTTGAGACCACGTGCACAATAGTTTGGTTGCAAGCACAAATACTTTCACCACAAGATATTATAGTATTGCTATGGTTTTGTTTTAAGCAGTAGCAGCATGACTTGAAGCACAGAAAATTTACTGGGAAACACTGAAGGATCACAGTACCTACAGTTAACGGTTAAAATCCCTTTAATCACCTTTGTCTTTAAACAAGGCCTGAAAGTCAAGCTATATCACTCAATCTATTTGAAGCTTTAATGCAAGAGAAGCATTAAATAATTTTTATTTAGAAGCACACACTGCATTTGGTGTATTACAGATTGGGAATCAGTCATATTTATGCAATTATCTGTTCCCCAGCCAGTGTACTTAAATTACAAACAATCATATCAGCAATATCTGCTACAATTCAATGTGAATCCAAAGCATATATAAAAAGTACAGAGGCAATACACATTCCTTAGACCGTGATTGCCAATGAATCTCACCAGTTGTTTCTTGTTAAAAAGAGAACTTGAAATTAATGAGAGGAGGGCATCAATCCAAATTGTTAAATTAAAATGTTTAGACAATTGTGAGGATAATTCATAAAATCATTTGTAGTTTCAGCCTTGCCTGGGAGGTGCATTGGAACCAATATCCATTTCAGTGGCTGTCACAGAAGCCAATTCAGCAGAGATGCTATAAAAACATCTGATGATATGAGTATCATATCAGAGAAAATGAGGGAACCTCGCAGTACAAGGATGCAAGCCAATGGAGCAAGAAAGCATTTGTATTCCCAAAAACAACAATACTTCATGTTTAATTGGCATTCCTTTAAAGGGCCTGAAAACAGGCTTTTCAATAATCACAGTGAACAATTTTACAAAACTACAACATTTTGTTGCAGTTACCACTGGTTCAGCAAGTGTTTAGAACAACAGAAACCTACTTGAAATTCCTCTAATAAATTTGAATTGAACGTCTGCAAAAAAATTGTTTGGTTTATTTTACTCTAAATTTGCTCTGAAAAAAAAAAATCACTCTGAGAAATATGAAGACCACAATAGTTTTAAAAAATATATTTTATTAGGCAGAGATAAATTATTTTTCAATAAATTATGTACTATTTTCTCTGGCACATCTGTAGCATTTGAATAAAATCACAAGGAGCTAATTCTTCATCTACCAAAAGATTAAACTCTTCAATATTCAAAAAAGGAACTATTTTAATTTTTCCTCATAAAACTTGGCTAAAAGCTCTGACCACAGAATTTCAGCTATGATTTAGTCTCCAATTTAAACCCTAATAGTAGCTTGGAAAAAAAATGGTCCGAGACAGTGTAATGAAAATCAAATCCCCCTGGCACGCCAAAAGGAAGGTGATTTGGCTACAGAAGGTACCACCACAAGTCTTAATCCTTCTGATCAGGTACTCAAATTCCAAGTTTCCAGCCACCCCCACTGCTGGGTAAAGTAACAAAAAGACAGTAATTTAGCCCTAGCAGTCAGGAAGTAAATGCTGCATCCAGCATAGTTTTGAAGAAAACTTCTCTCAGACTTAAAATATCTGGCTAATTCGAAAATGCCAAAAGACAATCTACTTGCTGGTTATGCTCCAGTGAATTGTAAAAAAAGCAAATTAAAATTGTTAAACTCAAAAATCATTCAAATCCAAAGGAGAAAAAAAAAAAAAGAAAAATACCTGAAAGAGCATTAAACCAGCAGCAGCAGTAAATTGATAGCTTTCTACTAAAATTTCATCTAGCAATCCTGATGAACACTCAGAGTGCTGCCAACCTTTTAAACTACTTTAGATCTCAAGACTCTTGCAAAAAAAGCTTTTTAAAATCTCTAGAACTGGGCCTTAAAGGAAAATAAGATCAGTTTCTGTATAGTTAATGGTTATCTGCCTTTTCATTTGCTGAGAAACCCCTAATAAGTGCCTTACTTGCTTTCCACACTTAGTACATAAAAGGCAAAAAAAAGCAATACACACTCTATTTTTTTTTTTTTGGACCCATCTAATCTTTTGAGCTATTCATCACATTTCTGGATCCTACCTAGTTATCCCTATATTATTTTTGACTAAATAGTTATGTATCAGTCATCAACCAAGACCAAGGCACAGGTGGAAGGGCTTGCAATTCTGGTTTCATCCACTACATGTCTTGTACAGATGTCAACATCTCCCTCCCTTGGTGAGATCTCCCACTGTAGAGAACTGCACCAGGCAGGTCCTTTCACTTTTAACAAAAATATATTAGAATAAAAAATTCACATTCAGAAGCTTTTTTCCAGAAGAAAACTTAAAAGTGCAATATTGCCTTTCCTGGTGCTATGCTTTTCATTTACATTCAGATAAAATCTTTGAATATACTCATTCCCCCTCAACTAACTTTAAATACAATAATACGTAGGAACTATGACTACTCTTAAAATACAGTTTATCAACAGTAGCTCATGTTTTCTTATATTTAAAAGCTAAATATTTTAAAAAAACACTAGGGGGGGGATATTAAAATTGAGTATTGTGATAACTAACCAGGCTAAGAAGTGTACAAAATATATAGCTCTGGAAAATTAGGCACTTGCATTAACTTCCTGTAGAGCATTATTTTCTATCATCTCAGGAAAATTGTATTTGACATCTATACTTTGAGATCAATTGCTTGCAGAGCTTACTTTTTAATTAAAATTAAAACAAAACAAAACCAACATAAAACGTAAAGGTCAGCTAAACTCCCACCATGTTAACCACTGCTTTTCCCCAGATCTCCCTCTAGAGCAATGCCAAGAACATGGCAATCAGCAAGCCTGAATTCTATGACTGCTCTAGAGCCATTCTACATGGTCTTAGGGTGAGAACACATCAGCCAGACTGCACTGATTGCTGAATGACAGCTCCATTTAGGATTCAGAACAAAGACAAATATTTATGACACTTATCAGCAGCCTTGTAAATTAACCATGTGGCTCTTAGGACCCACATCCACTTATTCTTTTTAGCAGGAAAAAAGTTCATATTCAATATTCCAAATATTTGGGCATCACTCCTGAGCCAGTCACAAGCTCAAGGACAAATCATCATATCACTGAAAAGACACATTTCTGTCCTATTTATTGCTTCTGTCTCTGCAGCAGTGGCTCTGCATTTCAACTAAAGAAGCACAATTCAGAAGTTTAAGCAATGTAAGCATATGAACAGCCATTCCCTGACCCCAGTGAGGAATGGTTAATGGGCCACACAGAACTCCTGGAAAGCTACATTGCAGCTGCAAGCAAGCATCATTTCTTTTCAAACATGGACTGTGCTATTTCATCAGGTGACCACATGAATCATAATGCATAAGAAAAGACAAGCCACTGATCTGTTGATGAAAAAAATATTTTTTGGAACCAAAAGCTCATCTCCTGCTGAAGGCACTATGCTCAACAGCAGCACAGTTACAAGCTCAGTATTACATGTATCGTGACTACACAGACTTCCTGTTATATAGGAACAGCTCTTCTTCAAAGAAACAGAATTCAGCAAGTTGTTCCTCCCAGAATTTAAACACTTGCAGTATTCACCTTAAGTTCTTCTGACGTAAGTTTCTTATAGCAAACTGGTAACAAAGCTATGCCTAGAAATGAAGAAAATCTTAATTCTGACAGATCAATTTATGTTCATGGATGCATTCTTAAACATTTTTATGGTAACCTGTATGGTGCATATTCCATTGTCTACAAAAACAAATACTCAGAATCTTTAAAAACTAATAGTCCCTCATTATATAAGAGTTCCTAGAGCAGTAACTATTTAGTCTCAACTGAGTCTCACTTAAACTCTAGTATGTTTTAAATCACTGTTAGATTTCGTAAGTCGCTTCCATCAAATTCAATCTAGCTTGATTACAGGATGTGAAAAAAAGGTATTTTCTTCATAGTAAGATTTTCATAACTTCTCATTTTTATTCCTCTACTGTGACAATCTGCCACAGTAGACAAAGACAAGCACTTGGCAAGGCCAATTCTCATCCAAACATTTTTGTGTACTTTGTGTTTGAAGCACCGGACACAAGACAGTCCAACCTATCTGTGACTTTTGATTTCTAGGCAGAATGCTGAACTAAAGTAAAATATATTAAACAAGTTACCTCTGTGAGGGATCCACAAGGCACTCCACCATGCAGGACTCTATCCAAACCATGAAGTGTGGTGGATAAAAACGCTGAAGAAGGATTGACAGACTTCTTTAGTTTCATTTCATAAGCCTACAAAAGGAGAAAAAATATCAAAAGAAAACAAGCAAATCAGAAAAGGCTTTTTCTAAAATGGAAATAGGAAAACGGTATTTGCTTTCAACAGCCTGGTATGACTTAACACTCGACAATGAGAAAAGTACTGTTATATTCAGCTATAGTCTGCCCTTAGCTCATCACCTTTCCTTGTATTTATATTCCATTTATAGCTCACAGAGTAAATTTAAGTCTTTTTTTCCTCTGTCTTACCACAAAATTAAATAAGCCTTTAATCATGATGTGACAAAAGTTGTCTCTGCTCCTATTCAACAAGGTTTGTTTTCAGCCTGGAAAATTCCATTATCAATGTTCATTACCAATTTGCTAGCTTCAAATACATGCAGTAAAAGTCATACTAATTTTTCAATTACTAACTTTATTGCAGCATATTAGTGAATTTAAAGTTTCACAGAATTACTCCCATAATTACTATGCCTATTACACATTTGGACATGGATTATTTTTGTAAGGAATAAAAAGTGAGCTGCATTGACTGAACTGTCTGTATCCTCTCTGTTCTAAAAGACATCTTTTCACATTAATTTAAAAGAGAATCTGCACTCAGAACTGCAAGTCTTAACAATCTCATGGGGCTATAATACCTAATAAATGTACCTGTATTAACCTAAAGTGCATCAAATACCTACATTTAAAAATAAAAACATTATGCCATTGTGCAGTAAAACTAAGACACCACAAGCCTCCCAGCTAAAAAGATGAGCAACAATGTTCAGCTTTTTCCCAGATATTGTATCAAAATCAGTATCAACACAAGCACACTTACTGTCTGCATTTTGGGAGCACAAGCTCGGCTGACTTTACAAAGAAGCTTCTGTACCTCATAGTAGCTCTGTCCCGTGACTTTCATTAGCTCCAAGAGGGAAAGACATAAGAAGTCCTGAAAGATTACAGAGCAATTCAGAGAGCTCAACCTAGAAATCCAGGTGGGGACTAAACTGATGCAACCTGTCCAAAATTAATACATATTCCACAGGTTTAGCAACTCTCCCTTCAGATACTTTTACACATTGCTGTGGTCCCCTCTCAGTTGTCTCTTCTTGAAGCTGAACAGGCCCAGCTCCCTCAGTCTTTCCTTGTAGAAGAGATGTTTCAATCTCCTCTTCATCTTCAAAGCCCTTCACTGGACCTGCTCCAGGAGCTCCCTGTCTCTCTCATCCTGAGGAGCCCAGAACTGGACACAGCACTGCAGGTGAGGCTCACCAGGGCTGAGCAGAGGGGCAGGATCCCCTCCCCTGCCCTGCTGGCCGTGCTCTTCCTAATGCAGCTCAGGATCCCATGGGCCTTCCTGGCCACAAGGACACACTGCTGGTGTCCACCAGGACTCCAGGCCCTTCTCCACAGAGCTGCTTCAGTGACTTCCCTGCCTCCACAGGGACAGTAAGTACATAAAAGTTTAAATGTTTTAGTTAGGCATCCATCATTTTAAAGCTCTATTTTTACAAGGCAGCAGGACAGATAGCGTCTGAAATGCTCCCTACTTTATAGAACATAAAGATCCCAGTTTAATTAAAATAACACAGCCACACAAACACAAAAAAAAAAAAAAAAAAAAAAAAAAGAGAGGAAAAACCAACCCACTAAAAAAACCCAAACCCACACCCAAAAAAACCCCACCAATCCACAAACAAAATAACTCTTTCACCTGACAGGTGGTGATCTGATAGCGACTCAGCCTTTCACACATTTCCTGAGACAACTGTGCTCTTCTTAGTTTCTTAGCAGCCATGCTTCCCAATCTACAGGGCAGACAAAAAAACATTAGAAAGATGACTTGAACGTGACTGTGTGGACAGCTCCACTAACTCCCTGCTAAAGAACACATGATGTAATGTGATATAGATTACCCATGTAAGTCTGTGTCACATTAAACTATATTACCAGTCTGAATGCAGTTTTGTTAAATTACATCTCATATTTGACCGTGTATGAGAACATACCAGTAAGACCAGAAGTGTCAGCAATGTCTATAGGGCAGATGTTTCCGGGACATAAGAAATCTAGAAATTACACAGTGATGAGCTGAACAAGAACTCCTCATGCTATACTGCAGCAGCAAGCAATTACCTTTGGATGCCTGAATGAACTGTAGAGCAATTGCAGTAAGCGTTCAATCCTAGACTATACACTGCTGGAATACAACACTCAGTTTTAGTGACCAATGAATTCTACAGCACAAAACGCTGCCCAGCCCAGTACAATCCAAACCGCACACATACAGACGCTTGACCATGTCGCTGCTTCACACGTATTATTCAGGCAACATCCCCGGTATTAATTCATACAGATATTCGGGCAGAACAAAGGTTTTTATTACGTAGTAAGCGCAAATATCGCAAATGTTTGCCATAACAGAAAACCGCTACAACTTTGCAGACGCACAACCCTCCACACCTTTACAAGATGGAAACTTTATTGCCCCATCTACAAAATTCTCCTTAAACAGGAAGGAAGCCCAAAGTTCCAGGCTCTCCCCGCCGCACCAGCCTGGGACCGGTGGATGCGCCCGCAGCCGGAGACCCGGCCCGGTCCCTCCGGCCCCTGGCAGCGAGAGCCGCGGGCACCGCGAAACCCGCTCCAGTCGCAAGTCAGCCTCACCCGCGGCAGGGGTGTCCCTGTCCCGCCACAAGCCAGCCTCACCCGCGGCAGGGGTGTGCCTCACCCGCGGCAGGGGTGTCCCTCACCCGCGGCGGGGGTGTCCCCGTCCCGCCGCAAAGCCGCCCCAGCGCGGGGGTCCCGGCCGGGCCGGGCCGGGCCGGACCAGCTGCAGCAGCGGAACCGCGCACCCGGCCACTTTTCAAAGGCTGCCCGCGCTGCCGCCAATCATCGCGCAGCGCCGGCGGCCGGCGGCGCGAGGCATGCCGGGAGCGGTAGTTCCCGGGGTGTGCGGCGGTGATGATGGCGGCGCTGCCCGGGTAGCGTCCATCTGCACCGGCTCAGGCAGGACGCTGCTCTCCTTTGCGGAGACTGAGGGCCCCAGGGGCTGCTCAGTGTTCCTTCCGCCCGTGAACGTGAGCGTCCCCCTGGAGACGGGAGCCTTGCACGGCGCTCTTGTGCTGTAATGTAGGAATTCCTTCTCTGCACAAAAGCGTCTACAAAACCCGAACGTCTTTAGCGCGGAGAGTGTCGTGCACGCCGCCAGTTTTCAGTAAAGAATACTGGAATGACGTCCTTGGCTTCATATTTAGGGGTCACAGACACCTGGTCTGCTGCCAGCTGTGAGAGAAATGCCCCATAATGTGAATCACGGAACCAGTTAGGTTGGAAAAGAGCTCTGTGGTTATCGAGTACAACCTATGACGGAACATGACCTTGTCACACCCTGGCTCTGAGTGCCACATCCAGTCTTTCCTTAAACAGCTGCAGGGTCAGTGACTGCACCAGCTCCCTGGGCAGCCCATTACAATGGCCAATCACTCTTGCTGCGAAGAATTTCCTCCTAACATCCAACCTAAACCTCTTCTCTATATCCTCTTGGCCTGTTGGTTACCTGGGAGGGGATGCCACACCCCACCTGGCTACAGCCTCTTTTCAGGTAGTTGTGGAGAGTGATAAGGCCCCACCATCCTTTTTGCCAGGCTAAACAACCCCAGCTCCCTCAGCTGCTCCTCACTGAACTCAAGAACCTTCAACAGCTTTCTCTTGCCCTTCTCTGGACACTCTCCAGTACTTCCTGAATTGAGGGGTTCAGAACTGGACCTAGTACTTGAGATGTGGTTTCACCAACACCAAATAGTGGAGAAGAATAATTTCCCTAGTCCTGCTGACCACACTGTTCCTGATATAGGGAATTTCTGAATATAACAGGGAGAAGCAGTCATCAAACATGACTGACATTAAGTCTATGAGGTGAGTTTTCCAACTCACTCTAGGTTATACTACAAAGTATTGAACTTTTTACTATATATAAGTTATCTGCATAATCCTTACAGTACTAAAAAATAACCAAACTGAAGAAAAAATGGGCCAGACTACCTTGGACATCTAACTGAGAAACTGAGCACAGGGAGCTGCATGGCTGGGCTTTTGTCTGTTCTGAAAAACAAATGCCACAGTGAAGCTGCAAACTACAGAACACTTCAGCCACTTTTCCAAATGAGCAGAACATTTGGAAACAGCAGAAGTAGCACGAAATTATCAGAAAATGCCCAACAACCGTAATGTCAAAAAGGGTCAGGGAATTAATGTTTCTTTCATACCTTGAAGGGAGCTTACATGCTCAGAGAAGTCCAGAGGATTTAAGAAGCTGGGCAAGGAGTAAGCAGCCCACACAAAAGCAACTGAGAGCTGTAGTGAAAAGGTAGCTGAACAGGGAGAGATGGCACAGAGGAAGAGCTCCTCCTAGTGTAGTCAGCCTTTAAAAGTTGACTTGAAAAATGTGAGTCATATCTGAGAAGAGTTGTCTAAAGAAAGGGAAAATATGTGGCTGCAGTTTAGTTTCAATGTAAAAAGAAGGACATGACCATACTAACTTGTCATGAACTACAGTTTCCTCCTCAGCACAGGGGTAGCAGAAACCCTGCCTTCCCAGCAGAGGAAAGGGGAGCATTGCCTCGATGACTTTTTTTCCCTCCCACAAACGTATCAGGGCTTTCCCTTCACCTGCAGGCCAACAGGCTTCCTTTCCAGTTTCTATACAAACAAAATACCTGTATTAAACCAGAGAACTCTTTTGGAACATTGAGCAAGGGAAGAAAATCTTAGCAGTCAAGTACTTTAGAAAATTTGTGAGCAAAATCAATATAGCCAGGTGCCTCTCCTGCAAGTTCTTTGAATCTCGTTTCTCAGAAGTGCCATGACTGTTCCCCAGTCTGCTTCTCAGATATGCAGATACACCTTTAAACCTGCTGTCAAATAATTGTGCATCATCTTCTTCATGTAACTCAACAGAGAGAACATTCAGAGGATAACCAGCTTAGTCACTGCCAGCATTCTCAAGCAGCAACACAACAGGCAGCATCACAGCTTCCATATGTTTGACTAGGATAGTAGTCACTAGGGAATGAGGACACTCTGCAAACTGCTCTGCTCTGTGAACTTGGTCAAGCCCCTTGACAACACGGTGTCTGTTTTCCACCTTGGTTTTGTTTTTCCCCATTTAGTCTGCAAACAGAGGAAGTAGTGCCAGTCCAATAGACTCATGTGTCAGGCATGATACAGCAGAGAACTGTGCTAGGCTAAGCCTTTTGCTGCTTCTGAGACTTAAAATAAGAAAGGATAAATAAAGCTAAGAGATTTTTACTTTATAAGAACTGAGTTCACCACATTAACATAAGAAGGTCATTTAAACTGGCAACACTGGAGAAAAGTCACAGAAAGGCAGAAGAGTAACAGCAATGACAAATGACAAACAAATTCTCACAGAATCAAAAGGATGTAACATCAAACACACCAATTAAAATTGAAAAGGGAATGGTGATTAGCTGTCTAAGGGGCAAGCAGAAAGGGAGAGTCTGATTTGAAGGGGACATTATGAAAGACTTATCAGTTCTTACCCAAATAAATACTCAGTAGTTAATAATTCTGCATGTCCTTAGAATTGAAAAGATAATGGTAAAATGTTTCCTTTCTGGAACAGATTCCACAGAAAAGTTTCTTCCTCAAGCTCAATACAGTCTTTTGTGAGAATTTTCAGATAATAGTTTGCATTCTGGAACATTTCAAATGATTCACATAATTGCTAACACAGTGACAGCTCACTGATACTGACTACAATCCTCAGGTTTATTACTATTTTCCAACTATCAGTTCTTGCCTTAAAATTAGCAGTGTTCCCCTATTCCTGTGAAAGAGGACTCCAAAAGAGTCCATTTCAGCAGAATACAGCAACAATTCAGACTCACAAGGGTAATTCAGATATTCAGAGCAATTCCCCATCTTATGCTTGCTGACTAGTGTCTAATTAGTCTAATATATTCCTATTCCTTGGGGTTACCTACTTGATGCTTACCACATTCTTTAATAGAACGAAATTACCTGTGAGCTCTGGAGACTGAAACCAGTTATGCTGGTTTGCATGCTTTCCTGGGATTAAGGTCCCAAGAGGTTGCTAATAACAGTACACAAAGGAACCTCCAATGAATTATTCTGCCTGTGTCTGCCGTCCCAAAGGAGTCGGAGATTTACTTCCAATCCGTTGAGGTTTCCCTATCACAAAAAAAAAAAAAAAAAAAAAGAAATTCAAAATATCTCTTAGGTGGCCTGCACCCTGGTTGAAAACACTTTATTTTTCATGCTGTCCACACTAGCACAGCTTTAGGAAAGCTACTTCGATTTGATATTTTGCCAGATGCATCTGCTCCAGGGATAGGGTGGGGAAAAGGAAACCACCATTCTGTTTTTTCTAGAAGCTGCTCAGCTCTGTTGCCATTGGCTATAAAAAATTAAGAACAACAAACCTGTGAAAAAGTAACCCATCTTTTAATTTTGACTTACTCTTCCCACTACATCCCAGTCATCTGAACCATCTGTGGATTGGATAAATGCTTCTCCCCAAGCAATTAACCTTTTTCCTCCTGCTCAGGAAGGATTAAACCCAATTAATAATGAATCCTCCTCAGATATTAGTGAAGACCTGTCTGACCACACACACCTTTACAGCCAGGAAAAGTAATATTTTTTTCTCAGAACAGGCAGAAGGCATCTCTCTGTTTTCTGCCTATTCATGCACGCTGCTGTGAATCCAGAATTATCCACAACCTCCAGAACTATTTCAGAAATATTCAATAGCAGTGTGGAG